ATGTGTGCAAGATGTTCCGAACACAAGCATTTCGAGGTCAATCAGGGATGCAACAAGATGAAACTTTAAAACATGTCAGCATTGTACTTTCTATTCGAACAAGTGGATGTAGCAGTCCCAAGTGATGGAAACATCAGAAAGAAGGAACACAGGAAACTCGAGAAATACCAAGGGCTCAGAGAGGCGCTGAAGAGAGCCAGGAAGGTAAACGTGACAGTTGTGCCAGGAGTGGTCGGCGCACTCGGGGCAGTGACCCCCAAACTAGATGAGTGGTTGCAACAGATCCCGGGAACTACATCGGACATCTCAGTCCAGAAATGTGCAGTGCTGGGAACAGCAAGGATACTGTGCAGAACTCTCAAGCTTCCTGGCCTCTGAGGACCTGAGCTGAATAGGGGACGGACACCACCCGAGGGGTGAGATGGGGATTATTTTATATAATGAAAAAAGCATTACTGTATGTCATCATTAACAATGATAATTTTCAAATTCATTACAACAAAAACAGAAAATACTTTTCAATGCACTCAAAGAAAAGAAAACTTCAGCATCAAAATGAGAAGGTAGATGAAATACAATTTGCCTGATGAAGCCTGATTCGATGGGAGTGGAAAATTTCAGAGATAACTGTTCATCTCATCATCACACTTGTGATTCTGAATCTGAGACTTCCACAAGAATCTTTGGCCACAAACTGAGCAGGAAAAAGGTTTCTCACCAGTGTGGGTTCTTGTGTGTCCTATTAAGTGTCCCTTCCGGGGGAATCTTTTTCCACAAACTGAGCATGAATAGGGTTTCTCGCCAGTGTGTGTTCTGGTGTGTATTTTTAAGGTTCCCTTCCTCGAGAATCTTTGGCCACAGACTGAGCAGGAAAAAGGTTTCTCACCAGTGTGGATGCTTGTGTGTACCACTAAGTATCCCTTCCGGCGGAATGTTTTTCCACAAACTGAGCATGAATAGGGTGTCTCGCCAGTGTGTGTTCTGGTGTGTATTTTTAAGGTTCCCTTCCTCGAGAATCTTTGGCCACAAACTGAGCAGGAAAAAGGTTTCTCACCAGTGTGGGTTCTGGTGTGTCTTTTTAAGTTCCCCTTCTGAGAGAATCTTTGGCCACAAACTAAGCAGGCAAAAGGCTTCTCACCAGTGTGGATTCTCACATGTATTTTCAAAGCACTCTGTGAGGTAAATATCTTCCCACACTGAGAACATTTCCAGGGTTTGTATTCAGTGTGACATGTCAAATCACCATCAGACTCTTCATCCTCATCATCATCAACATTTGATGTTGTGTTATCACCATCTTTCGTGCAAGGGTAATTTAGCTCTTCCTCTCTTTTAATGTATGGGACCTGCTGTTCTTCCTCTTTGTTCTCCTCTTCCTCTTTAATGTGAAAGGGCTCTGCATCCAGCCGCTCAGGACAAGCATCTACGCTGATATCTGCAAGACAAGAAGACAAAAACACCCATGGAATTCTGGTTTATAATTATAACGAAGATTAGTTCAGATCACAACTCAAAATGTGACATGACCAGCATCACATATTAGTGGTGGATTTTTCTCTCTTTGATTATTTTTATCAATGGTGGTGGTTTATTATTATTTTTTTAATCCTTGGGTATTTGTGAAAAAGACTTCTACAGAGCCTGACACTGCACATTTTTGAGTGGTGGATAAGTCCAGAGCGCAAATTCTACTGCGTGATTTACCTTTCGTGGGATGTTTCTGGACCGCGATAAAAAGTCATTACAAAAATACTGATATAGATATATATATCTATATCAGTATTTTCACAACTATAAGGCACCATTAAAAGTCTTAAATTTTCTCCAAAACCGACAGGACGCCTTATAATGCGGTGCGTGTAGTGTATGCACCAAGTTCCAAAGCCTGACTGAGAGCACTCCCAGCTGACACGCTGTTTATGTAGAGAAAAGGTGGACGTGAGTGACGACAGGCACGCGGAAGTCCGCCAATGAGTGAAGGGTGAGCGTGTAAGAGTACGCTAAAGGAACATCCCTAGCAGGTACCAGTCGCCAATGAGTGAAGAGTAGGCATGTAAGAGGACCCAAAAGGCACACCCCTAGCAGGTACCAGTCGCGTGAGTACATTGTAAAATGGCTAAATAAAGTACAACCGAACTCAGTTTTGCTTCCGTTGCCTTTTTAAAAACGTGTTTTTAGCGTGTGTCCGTATGTCTTAGCCGCTACCGTATGCTTTAAGCTAACATACCTGGTATGTTTTAGCGTGCATGCATGCTCCCGTATGCTTCAAGCTAACGTGTTTTTAGCGTGCGTGCATGCATGCCTTATGTTTAAGCTGGCGTATGTATTACCATGCCTGGCTGCGCCCAAATATACAGTGCGTTTTGTGTATGTGTCAAATAGAGAGAGAGAGAGAGAGAGAGAGAGA